TCATTCAAATCTTTACAGACCGGGTCAAAATATCCGTGCAAAACTGCCATGTTCTCGAACATTCTCACGTATGTGTCTCAACAGGTCGGATGACCCGTCAAATGCCAAACTCGTCTTCCTGAAATTCACCAGCAGTGGTGCCACCAATATCTCCCTCGAGAACGAGTGTCCCCAAGCACGCCCCTCTGGTCGATCATCCACCTTGGCTTGCAGCTGACGTAGCTGCTCAGCGATCCTCTCCATCTCTCGATGTCGTGGGGCTCCTTGTCCTCCATAGCTTGACACGTCTTCCTTCGTGTTGTGTTATTCTCTTACCACCGTGGTCGACGGGATCACATCACGAGAGTGTTGTTCCTCACCTGTTGCGCTGTCTGTGCCGCTACGTTAGCCATCATACGCTCAATCTCCTTCCTGGTCATCGCCACTATCTATTGACCAGGACGCTGCATCTCCTTTGCCGGTGGTGCTACTACCTGCGCCACCGCTCCAACCTACTGTCCTCCCTCCAGATCTAGTTGCGTCGGTGCGAGCACCGCCGTCGCCTGTGCTGCCCGAGCATCGTGGCTCGGCTCTAGCCTACATTCGCTCTTGGAACCGTCGATGAACTCCCTAAACCTTGAGGAGCAAGTGTTGGGGTTCACCGGCGTCTGAGAAGGTCCGGAGAAACCCGGAGGAGGGCCCTCTTCGAACGGTCGTGCCGTCGTCCACGCCTCATCAAACGACGACTGTAAATTCGTTATGGGAATTCCGTCCGCCATAGCCAAACGACTTAAAGAATCTCAGCACACAACCTTTCGAACGAAAGTCCCACAAACGACGCCAGAAAATGGTAAGTCAAAACCGCTCACCGGTTGGAAATCAGCTCGCGTTCTTCTTCCTGCCGGTAGAACGCCGTGTACCTGCAAAAACTCTCACACTGAAGGGGTTATCCGGTGAAGAGCCTCCGATGGTTAAGTCATTATCACTCCAAAGTCCAACTCTCAAAGAGTATAATAGAAGTCGTGTGCAAAATCGTAAAGCCCACCCCTGTATATAGATGAGCGGTATCTATTCTAGAAGCTGCCCGAGTTAGCTGAGCTAGCTGCCCAAGAGCTGTCTGGCCTGCCCGGTAGTACAACACACACAAGAGGTGTGTCAGAAATGATTACTCAATATGGGCTAACCAGGCCACACCATGTGTCCTCTGCACATGGGGGTGTGATTCCTCTAATATTTCCTCGAAGCCTCTAGTGTTTGACCAGGTCTAGGTCAGTCCGCAAATTGCTCCAAGTCTGGGAAGCAGTCGATCAGACGACCAGTTGCACGACAGGTTGATCTTCGAGCAGACCTTCCACGAGTCTGGGATCGACCTGTTCTTCCTGCACCGGAATCCCTCTTCAAGTTATCTTCCTATCCAGAGACTCTTGTTCTCGTAATGTTCGGCCGGTTTACTCCTTTAGGTATGTTATCCCATATCAGATTGTTTATCTAAAGAAGAACGAATAGGTGTTGAGACGTCCATCATGAGTGGCTACCCGGTCAAATTGCCACGAACAGCAAATGGCAGGGATCCATGGGCACAATGTCGCACCAAATCTGATCACGATATCTCGGACACACCGAAAAAGAAACCAACACACGGCGGTCAACAGTGATAGCATTACCTCGTTGAATCCATGCTAGTGTATAAGGCTGCGGGTGAGGAACACTAGAGAGGTGAAGTTTGTCCACGGCCTCTTGAGCGATCACATTTTCACAGGAGCCCGAGTCAATGATAAAAGGACAGACTTTGTCTCCAACCGAACAAGTGGATTCAAATAGACGATTACGCTCCACTAGCGAGTCACTCGAACCCCACGGGGCCAAACAAGTTCGACGAAGAACTAAGGCCGTGCCCACGTCGCCGTGTACGAATTCCTCCACTTCGCCTGCTTCCACATCGTAAGTCGGCGGGCCACTATAGTCATCGGCGAAGTCCACCGTCTCCTCAAAAAACAAGGTGCAACCGCCAGGACCCTTCGGACATACTGATTGTCAGTGGCCCACCTCGCCACAGCTGAAACACCGCAGCCCGCCCACCGTCCGTGCCATGGCCGACGACTGCTGCTGTCCGCCAATACCTCCTTGTCGTTGCTGCCTCCCGCTGGCCGCCGGAAAACGGTTTGTCGCAGATCGGGCTCGGAAAATGACCCGCAACCGGTGTCGTGCAGCCCGCCGTAATAGCCACGCCCGGAACTGCCCCTTACCGTGAGGACGAAGTGAAAGGCGGTCCTGCTTTCTGAGCCAGCTGCAGCTCCATGAGAATTGCTCGCTGATGAGCATCCGAGATCGACTCCGGGCGAAAGAGGTTCAACATATCACGAATTGCCGCCCTCAGGCCCCCTATGTATCTTGCCCCCAACTGATTTTTCGTCTCATTTAGCTCAACATGGGTTAAGAGACGATAGGATTCATTCGTGTATTCATCCACCGAACATGTTCCTTGTCGTAAATTCTGCAATTGTTGATACACAATGCTATCATAATTATAAGGCACAAACTCACGTTCCACATACCTACGGAATTTCATCCAAGATGATATTTATGGCTTGCCCTGACGATGCCGCAGGTTGGTGAGCTGCATCCACCACGTCGCGGCCCTTCCCCGAAATCGTGTGGCGACCAAAGCAACGCGCCTCTCCTCAGGGACCGCCTTGTATCGGAGAACGGCCTCAACCGATGCCCACCATTCGAGAAATTCCGAACCATCCACACCCCCAGCGAACTCGGGAATGTCCACACGGATCCCTTGCTCCCAACGCGACTCATCGCCCCTTCTATCGGGCGCCTGCCGTCACGCCGGTTCACCTAGTCCCTCTCGCGGTCCATGAAAGCAGCCGGTTGTTGGTGGCCACCGTCGTGGTCCCACCCGTCTCGGCATGGAGGGCTGTCATCACCGAATCAACAACCCTCGCGGCTCCAGTCGCTGTCCGCATCCCAATCAGCTCCTCCCCGACGGAATCCTCGGTCACGATGCCGGACCCCGCCGCCATAACCCCCTTGAGCGATAAACTCCTTGCTTGCTGGGCGTTGATTGTGGGCTGCAGCAAAAGGATTATCCATGCTAATGGTGTCCTCGTTCTCGTCGTCGCCGGTCGGAGTCGGAGGTGAAGGCCGGTGGGGCGCCCCGCCATAGCCACGTCCTCCTCTTCCTCCTCGAAACCCTCCGCGGCCGCCTCGGTTGCCGGCGTCGCAGTTCGTACGGACCTCCTCCATCATTGTACGCATCGCCAGTCGAATCTCTTCAACCCCCGTAGAAAGGTCCGTAAATCGATCGTCCATCCCTTGAATTCGATCGTCCATCCTCTGAAATCGATCGTCAATGATGTTGTCGTTCACGGTGTTTCTCTTAGGCGGCTTCGTGGATCGTGACTGGGCTCTGGATACCAACTGATGTAGAACGTGATACGAACAGGAAATGAATGAGATACTCTCTCGTTGAACTCACACAAGTCTGATAAAATTCAATCCTAAACTGTCAATGTCTAATACAATCCCAAACATAAATAAAGAGGAGTCCTACTCCTACAAGTATCTTGTAGGATACTTATTTATTTACTTACTCCTAATAGATAAATAAATAGAAAATAAATAAAAGGAAAGCAAATAATAATCAAATCAAATGCAGAGTCGATCATATTTGTCCAGGAACGCGATCGCGGTCTCGTCTCCATCACTTAAAGAATCTCAGCACACAACCTTTCGAGCGAAAGTCCCACAAACGGCGCCGGAAAATGGTAAGTCAAAGCCTCTGACCGGCTGGAAATCAGCTCGCATTCTTCTTCCCGCCGGTAGAACGCCGAGTACCTGCAAAAACTCTCATACCGGAGAGGTTATCCGGTGAAGAGCCTCCGATGGTTAGCATTATCAATCCAAAGCCCAAGTCTCAAAGAGTATAATAGAAGTGTGCAAAATCGTAAAGCCCACCCCTATATATAGAGGCGGGTATCTATTCTAGAAGCTGCCCGAGTTAGCTGAGCTAGCTGCCCAAGAGCTGCCCGGCCTGCCTGGTAGTACAACACACACAAGACGTGTGTTAGAACTTAGAAATGATTACTCAATATGGGCCAACCAGGCCACGCCATGTGTCCTCTGCACATGGGGGTTTGATTCCTCTAATATTTCCTCGAAGGCTCTAGTGTTTGACCAAGTCTAGGTCAGTCCGCAAATTGCTCCAAGTCTGGGAAGCGGTCGATCAGACGACCAGTTGCACGACAGGTTGATCTTCGACCAGACCCTTTACGAGTCTGGGATTGACCTGTTCTTCCTGCACCGGAATCCCTCTTCAAGTTATCTTCCTATCCAGAGACTCTTGTTCTCGTAATGTTCGACCACGACCGCCTTTTCGTATTTGTTCGACTAGAACCGTTCGACTGGTTCACTCGGTTGGTTCGTTAGACTGACTAGTTCGGCCGGTTTACTCCTTTAGGTATGTTATCCCATATCAGATTGCTTATCTAAATATGCAAACGCCACCATGAGCCACTGCCTCTGCTTCTGCCTCGTTACTTGCTAATGATCAACTTTTGTTCTCTGCCGTAAGAATTCAAATTATTCTTTTGTAGCCTCTACATTAAATTACAGTTATATATTATATTATATAGTAGTCATGAAGAAAGCAAATAATAACCATAACATATGATGAAAAATGCAATGCCACAATAGCCAAGTAATAACAAAGTCATTATCAACACATGAAAAGGTAGATGTCAATTAAACAATAAAACAACAATCAAAGACCATAAACATATCAAAAGAAAACTCCAAAGCCAAAATGACAGTGAACTCAAACAACAAACACAGTTCCTTCAGAAGACGGATCAGCAAATAACTCCACAGCAGAAGATAAAATAACAGCACAAATTTAAGCATATTCAAACTTCACACGAGGTTGATTACCATCCCCATTGTATATTTAAGAAAAAAAAAAAAGAAAAAAACACCAAGTACTATGACAAACAACAAAACACTATACACGAAAATCATCTACCCTCCGATTTCACCAACTGCGAGAAGACCCTACTCATAGACGAAAGATCGTCCACACTCGTACTTGAATTCTCAAATCTCGCAACCTCATCGCTGTTCTCTGCATTACCATCATTATTATCATCATCATTATTACAATCACCAACCCGTGGAGAAAGCTGACCAATCACATTCGAGCCATTTTCGTCCGAACCATCACGAACCACCGCCTCCTGAAGCTGAAGCGCATACTCGAGATTCCACAGCACGTCCCCCATCGACGGCCTATCTACACCGAAATCAGCCAAGCATTTCTCGGCCGTCTCCCCAAACTTCCTCAGAGACTCAACCCTCACTTTCCCAACAAGATAAGAATCAATAATCTGATCCAGCTGTCCCTTCTGCTGCCACCTCATCGCCCACTCAGCAAGGTTAACCATTTCCCTAGGCAGAGACGGGTCAATCACGGGCCTTGCACAAAGGACCTCGAACAAAACGACCCCAAACGAGTAAACGTCCGATTTCTCCGTAAGCTGCTGCCTCCTGAAATACTCGGGATCCAAATACCCGAAACTACCCTTCACAGCCGTGCTCACGTGGGTCTGGTCGATCTCGGGCCCGGTTTTCGACAGCCCGAAATCCGCAACCTTTGCCATGTAATTCTCGTCGAGTAAAATATTCGCCGACTTCACGTCGCGGTGGATGACAGCTTTCGCGTAGCCCGTGTGGAGATAGTGCAGCCCACGAGCTGCACCGATGCATATCTCGAGCCTCTCCTTCCACCCCAGGCTCGGGAGTCCCGAACCATACAAGTGGCTCTTGAGCGTCCCTTTCTCCATGTACTCGTAAACGAGAATCATCTCGTTCTTCTCGTCACAATACCCAATCAACGAAACCAAATGGCGGTGGCGGAATTGCGAGAGCATCTCGATTTCGGTTCTGAACTCGGCCATGCCTTGGTGGGACCGCGGGTTTCCTCTTTTAACGGCCACTTTCGTGTTTCCGTCGTTCAAGACGCCTTTGTAGACCTTCCCAAACCCACCGACCCCGATTATCCAGCTCTCGTCGAACCCGTTTGTCGCTTCGTGAACGGCCGCGAACGGGATTCGGTAGCTGAGGTTCGAGTCCAAGTTAATAGTTGTCCCCGTCGAGTATTTGCTTCCCACCGTGTGGGAGACCCCGTCGTTGACCGATATCGGGACCCACGTCTTCGACTGCGCCCGTCTGGCCCGTTTCCTTTTTCTACACACGAAAAACACGACTCCTGCCACTAATAATAAAGCACCTACTACAGTCCCTACGCTAATTCCGACAATCATTCTGGTTTTCTTGGATGAGCTGCCCGCGAGATTCGGTAAAACAGAGGCCGGCCCAGATAAACTGTCCCGCGAATTGCTTATTTTCATAATCTCTAACCCATTGAGAAGGGCGTCGGGATAACCGCTCCTAGGAGACGGACCTATGCTTAAGGTCAGGCTATTCACGTCCATCAACGGTGTCACGTAGTCCACAAAATACGGAGTCGCCAGTGGGCCAGGCCGCGAGCTCAGCTCGAAATCGAGCAGCACAAGTGACGAGCCAATGTAGACGTTAAATAGAAGCTGATTCGAGGCAGTACTCACGATATCGCAAAAGTGAAGCCGGAGGAAGTACTGAAAACCGGGATCTACATTGAATCTCCACGTCACGTTGAAATTGCTGTTGGGATTACTTGCGGAGTCCATCTTCGTGCACGTCCCGTAAACGGTTGGTGGGGCGGTCTCAGGAGTCGCGCCAGCTGGCGAGTACCGAACCGAAGGGATGTTCGACTCGTTCGTGGCCACGTTTGAGTTGGTGAGGAAGGGCCCGTCGGGAACCCATGTCCGGCCCAATGTGTCGTTGACCAGAGAGACTAACGGGCCGCCCATGTTGACCCTGGAGACTGTCTCCAAGGCCCGGGTCACAAGCCCGGTGAAAGGGCCCGGAGGGCTGTAGAGAGAGGCGTCGTCTGTTATGAGGGTGTCGGGCAAGGAGACGACTTCCAGGGCGTTGATGAAGGCAAACGAGCCGGCAGAAGGGGAGAAAGTCACGGAGAGGGCCCCGCGGGAGATGTTGACTGAGTATTCGCGGACGGCCGCGTTTCGTGGCGTGAAGTCGCTGAGAAGCGTGGTTCGCTGGGAGAAGACGGAGAAAGTGGCGTTGCTCATGTTGAAGTTTCGGAAGGTGAAGGGGAAGAGGTGGAGCCGGATCCAGTGGCGCCCGGCCCGATTGATGTTGAAAGTGTATCGGGAGGGCCCGGTGAAGATCCGGGCCGTGCGGTAAAGAGGGGAGTCGTCGGAAGGGGTTATGGTGTTCAAGTTGCTGTCGGCTAATATGTTTTGTGGGGTTGAGAGGAATCGTGAGGCTGAGTTATCGGAGATGTAAGTGATATTGCCTACGGAAAAATCGGAAGACGATCCGCAGTTTATGTAGTACTGGTCAGGTGGATCGGTTCCTCTACAACAGTATAATAGATTCAACAGGAAAAAACAGAGTGAAACCGTCCAGATCTCAGAGCCCATCATCACAACCGCACAATTAAAGATCGTATCTTTGAGCTAAATCAACACTACAGTGTCCAAGTAAATAGAAGAGAAATGAAAGGGAAATATAGCACCTCAGATTAATTAAGCCCCAGGAGGAAGCAGATGATGAATGCCGATGCGCCTCAGATTTGTCATAAGAGCGGCACAAAATCCTGTTTGGCGACGACAATAATAATTCCAAAAAATTGAAACAAACAAGAGACGAAGAGAAGAAGGAAGAAAGTGCGGAACAGCGAAAAAAATTTAATTTAGCTGGAAACTAAGAATAGACATTCAAGATATCATCTGGCAAGAATATTTTTCTTTAATTCCACTAAAATGACATCCACACTAACGCGTTCACAAATGTATTGGTCGTTGTTAGATGTCTGAGTAATAGTCAAAGGTTAACAGAGCCATATACATTAATAATAATAATTATAATAATAATAATAAGTGTGTATATATTATTATGTTGTTAAATTGGTGTTAGGTTAGGGGTTGACGTTTTGTGGGGAAGAGGAAATTGGGATTTTATTAGTAGAAACAGGTTGAGAGTGCAAATGAAGAGGAGGTTGTTGGTTAATTTGTTTAGGAGAGAGAATGTAGTAACTGACGGCATTTATTTACTGCTTGATGTTTATTACTCTCTAGACCAATGTTAATAAAAATTGTTTCAACCAATCAAAATACTGGTTTAATGGTTCATATCCACAAATAATTGAATTAATTAAACTATTATTTAATTTAATAATATTTTTAAATATATAATAAAAGTTATATATAAAAACTTTTTATTTAAATATTTGGCGAATTTAAAACATTCAAATACTGACATTAGCTAATAACTAGTTTATATATATACATTATATATAAATATTTATTTGTTTATTTATATTTAAAATATTTTTAGATATATTAAATTTATTTGTAAAAAGATGGACCGGTTCTTGGCTGATTCTAACCGGTTTCGACCGATTCACTGGCAACCAGTTCATTCCAGTGAACCGGATTGATTATATGATCGGTTCCCAGTCCAATCGGTCGGACCGACTAGTCCGATCCTAATAGTGAAATGGATTTCACTCGGTGTAGCGCCCGTCCGATTTATAGAATTTCTCGGATTATTCTATTTATCGATTTAATTTATATAATTTATGTTTTATTTTATTGGTCGTGAGGTCATTACTGGTAATTAAATAATATATTTAAGTACTTGTTCAATTTATTTTTATAATGTTCTGTTGATAACCGACTTGGTTTCATGAGGTTAGAGCCGAAGATTAATTGTTTTGTTCGATTAATAATTCCTCAGAAATGGCTAAACTTAGCTCAAGTCGGTACCAGCCAGATGTGTTGTTCACCGGTTTCTAGATGGTCAAACCGACATCAAGATAATCAACGAAGTAACACCAACTATCTACAGAAGCCGACTACCGACTTCACCAATATGATTATATCTACAAAAGATTATCCATTCATCCGACATCCGAGAAGATCGAATTTTCAAACAAAAGGAGCTGTACACATTCGATTGGGCCATCAAAACAAACAGCAATCATTGATGTTTCCTCATTCTGCTACACACCGTTTAATTGAAGCTGCTCAACATTAAATGCGATCTTATCTACCTCGGACAAAAAGACAAAAGCAACCGAACTATAAATAGCAGAATTTATGGTTGTACGACGATCTTTTTTTTTTCAGAATCTTTTTCGCACATTGTACATGGACTTGAAATGATCTTGGTCAAGAACAGAAAACCGACTTCCTGTACTCTTGTAAACATATCAATAAAATCCGATTTTATCTTTATCTTTGTTTAAACACACCCAGCTGTTCATAATTTTGAGTTGTTAATTTCATACAACAACAGTTTGGCGCTAGAAGGAGGGCCACCTGCCTTGACCAACGTTTTTTGATCGATGATATATGTGTGTAAATAATATTTCCATACACATATTATCATTATGCCAAGTTCTGAGCGACAAGAGCGAAATCCAGAAGCTGGAACCAACCGTCATCCTGCTCATATAACTGGCAATACAAATGTGCCATCTACGACGATAGACTACTTTGTTCTCTTCCAAGATCCAGAGTTTCTCAGAAATCTATTTATTTTCATGGCACAAACAAGAACAGGACCAACTATGACGGTTCCTAGTCAAGCTCATGCTTCAAATCCTCCAACTAGGCAGCAGATGTCGCCTGTTCAACAACATAATATTCCTACTGCGTCTCATGCCACTTCTCAACCACGAATACCTGAGTCACAACAAAATATTGCCATTCATAATCGTGGTGTGATTCCTGTCGACGATCGTTGTAACACCCCGCTTATCAGAGTAAATTTTTCGCAACTTTTATTTCGAAATTACTTATAACTCTTTCGAAATCTTTTTGCGAATAACTCGGGATGCTACTTAAACTCCTCCTTCATAAAAATCTGTTTAACTTTAACTTTGTCTAATTATTTATTTTAGACATAACAAAACAGATTTATATATATACTTGCATTTAACTATATCATATTCATATTTATGAAATGATAAAAACTTGAAATCTGAATTTATTTAAAATGCAAGTTCACATATTAATAAGCGTAGCGAAATTACTTAAAAACGTGAATAATTATACAGACTTGTTTCATTTATTACAAATGTCCTTTGAAACGAGTACTCGACCATCACCACCACTTTATTTGCTCACACCTCCGGCCCGACCCTGTTACCTGAAAAACATAATGGGGGTGAGTACTGGTCCTTTTGTACCCCGTTAATACCCATACTAAAGTAAACATCAATAATAATACAATATCATGATCTTTGGTATATATATAATAACTGTAACTTAATCTGGCCGATATATTATCGGATACTTGTGCACAATCTGATGGATATTTCTAAGGCACGTATCGCCTCCATCAGAACTTAGGATATAATCTTCGAGACAAATTAATGCCTCCTCATCCCAAGCGTATAAACTTAAACTGTATACATACCTCGAACATGATAACAATATTATACTCAATGTAATACCCAGTCTGGGTCCCCACCTTTCTCCTTTGAAATCGTAAGTGTTGGTCTCGAGTAGCTAACTCTTCAAGCTACATAAAAATACGTAAACAAATATACTAAGTACTATGCTCGTATACTCGGATTTTCAACTCTTTCGGATAAATCATCCAAATCTTATAAAATCTCAATATTCTTGTTATGGTTCAAACTTTTCTTGATCTTTTACTCAATCAAATACTTACTCATATTATTTCTCCCAAATCTTATACATATGGCTTATACTCATTTTTCACTTGATTATCTCGAAAGTGAAAAATAACTCAAATCATACTAAACTTTTCATCATAATATTAATATGTGAGATTTACAACAATCTTTATAAAATTGTATACTCAACATATTAAACTAAAACTTGATCAAATTGCTCATTACTCATATAAAAATTTTTTTTCTAAAAATTCCATTTTAAAACTCAACCATGTACTAAATACTCTTGCATATAAAATCATCTTGACATGTATGCCATATAAATATTTTAACTCGTTCATTTCTCAACATAAAATCATGAAATTTGGCAGTCATGTTCTTAACCCATATATAAGCATGTCGTAAAAATTTCATAATTTTATCATGCGTATATATCGAGTTATTAAAATTTTAAAGTCACAGCTGAAATAAAGAACATAAAATTCAACTTGCATGCTTAACTTCAAAAATTTATAACTCAAGCTATACTATGCCAAATGACATAATTCTTTCACCTATATACTCAGCACTTACACAAGAAATATCCATAATAAGCTTAACATATCAGGTTATGCATATCATGCTCAAATTCAAATCAAAATAGTACATATATATAACATGTGATTGTGCTGGAAACAACTTATTTTTTTTTTTTCATGCTTAAAATTTCTTTAAAAATTGAATATATATTTATGGCATGAAAATACATCAATATTCACTTACTATGACATATGATAAAAAGGTAGCATCTAACCTTCTTCAAGAAATTTGAAAATGGAACTTCGGAAGTTGATCTCAACTTATCTTCGTCAAGATTTCTCTCGATTTTTCTTCCTCACTTTATAGCTAAGACTTTGCTTATTTTTGTGTGAATTTCGAGTCTATGGTGATACCCCTTTATATAGGGTAGCAAAGGAGACAATATCACCTTCTTCACATCAATACTTCATCATAATAAACTCATTAGGGCCCTTGCCATTAATGCTTTTCTAAATCATGCACAAAGTTGAGTAAGCTTTGAAAAGTACTTGTAATGCATGATTCATCTTGTATATATCAAGACAAACTCTTCCATTTGACCAATCCTCCATTATGGGTCGAATTTTGATCCTAAATGGCTCATTTATTGCTTAAAAATATAAAAAAAATGGTTATAAAAATAAATAAAGATAAAGAATAAAAATCATAACTTGTAAACTTCTCAAATCTATAGTCAATGCTTAGAAAGGGCCATCTTGTGATCCTAATCTAGTTTCCATGATAAAATTCGTGACTTAATGAAAAATCTCCAATTTACAGAACCGAATTCTGACTTAAAACGAACGGTTACCGAAAAATCGAAAATTCTGAAAATTTCAGATTTCCATCTTTTGCTTTTGGCCTTTTTCCTTTTTATGCTGAAAATTTTTAACTCTTATTAATGATCTTGAAACTTGTAAAAAGATACAAGAAAATAAATTTTTCGGAAACGAAATCGGATTTAATTATCGTCTACAACCGAACATCGAAAAACTCGAAACTTGCGAATATAATTTCGAATATATTCTTAATAATATAAATAGACCTTCTTGTCTAAATAACTTCTACTTAATCCTTATAACTTATCAAATCATATAAGTCACATAAAATACTTAGGCAATTTATAACATTTACTCGACTAACTCAATTTAATGAAAAACGATTCTGATTTAACTTTAATGTCGAGCCAACTGAAAAATAAAATTCTAAGAGATTTAT